TTTAGAAAATAAGAGGGCATTATCTTTAATTGTGTAATTCTTGATAAAGACAGTAAACAATTACAACAATTTATTTTCTTTATGCAAATAGAGTACCTCAAAAGAAAGTTGTAGAAACTAGCATGGTTTAATAAAATTTTGCATCAATTAAGAAAGGAGAAAAGTGTTTAGTTACACATCTAAGAAATTGGAAGAAAAAAGTTTTAAAATTAGGTTGCTTTAATAAATTTTTATTAAAAAATATTAAAAGAAATCTATTTTGAAGTTAAGTATGAGTGTATTTTTGTTTTTTCTTATCGTACTTTAATAAAATGACTTAAATTTTTAGATTGTTTTTTGTTTTAATTTTTTTTTAAAAATTCGGTTGACAAATACCTTTTTTAAAAGAAAAGCTAAATATATCTTGTTTCGGAACCATGATCTAAAATGAAGAACCACATACAATAACTCATTCTTTTCATATCCAAACCAATTCAACAAAGATTAAGTTGATTCTTCAAAATATTTAGACGTATACACCTACTAAAAAGTTTATCATTTATTTATTTAGGCCAAACGAAGATTCATGGCAGGACTTACTAGGATGGCTTGGCAAAAAAATAAAGAAGAAATCCCTGCCTAATTTATGAATATTAACATAAAAATACATTTTAAATTGGGAAACTCTACCCTAATCATTACAAATGATTCCCAAAACTATACACCAAATGATTGGATTTTAATAAAGGATCCAATTTTTAAAATCTAATTGACAGGTAGATATTTTGGATCTATTTTGAAACAAAATTTTATTTTCTCCAATATTCAAATGTGGCCCTATAGGTGGAACAAGAATAAGAAAAAGAAAATAAAAACAAGTATTAAATTTCCATAAACCTAACCCAATCCAGTTTAGGCTTTGGCTTACCTGCCCCGCATGAATTTGTAACAATTATTTGGCTAAATTCAACAAATAATTTATTAATTATGTAATTTATTTTAGTTTAGTTTAAAAATAATTTTTTCTTTCAAAATGATTTATAAATTATTAATTCCGTTAGTTTAGTTAACGGAATGTTTGTTAAGTAGACCATTTTGAAACAAAATTGATAGTTTATAGATTATTTTTAAAAAAAATTATTTCTAAACTAAACTAAACTAAAATAAATTACATAATTAATAAATTATTTATTAAATTTAACACAATTATTCATAATATTCCTTTGAGGATAGAAAATGCATATAAATGCAAGAATGATGGATGGTTGTGCCGTTTGTCTTTCCTTTCCCCCTTTTTTATTTATTTTTTTATTTTTTTATTTTTTGTGATACGACGGTTGGAACCTTCCATACTCATAAAATTTGTGAGATACTGCTGATCACTTTTGTTATGACTTGAGTTGTGATAGGTCCGGTTAAGTGTGGGTTCAAGTTTTAACCATTCTCTTGTACTTAAACTCCTTAATCTACCTACCTTTTTTTTTTTTCTTTCGAACATTAGAGTGAGATTTGAACTTTATGGTTATTAAATTTATCATAAAAAATCTTTTATGGGAGAGAGGTGATTATT